ACTTGGGTACGAATTGGGGAAGAGTCACTTATGAGCACCCCTCTGCCCGATCTTGGGAAGATAGGCCTCTACTAACAGTGATATCCATTTGAAAACTGTTATGTGATCATATTCCAGTATATAGCCACTGAATCTACTATGTTATCGACGAGACCGAAACAGATAAGAATAGGACTAGTATGTGCCTAAATTTGGAAATAAGCAATTGCATATCCGATTTTTTTGAAAAAAAAAACTTTTGAATTTGAGCTACTCGCAAGATAAGGCTAAAATTACGGATTCACACGAGATTGATTCCAAACTCAGACAATCCACCTTCACCCACCATAGGCAATTTCACAAAATAACATAGTTTTATCGGTTAATCAACAAAATAACACGAATTCTAGCACACATATTACATGTAGATAGATCATTCACTGTTTCTTAAAAATATTAACAGCACATATACAAACCAACGGTCCACCATTATTACATTGCGATAATCTACTTTTAAAGTGCCTCACGAAAAGTTAGCTTCATTACTTTGAGTAATCATATCTTCGGCCAAAACAATAAACTCTCAGAATCTCCTTATGTCCTATCTTTTCACTTTTCTCGAGATACATGCTCTCACTTTTTGAAGAGTCTTTGACTTATACTCTGCCTAGAGGAAACATCCACATAACCTAGTGGACTCTCTAAATTGGTTAAGTGTTCTGATGTCTAGTGAGGCTAGAACTCCTATCATATGGCATGTTGAATTGCAATCAATTTGATTGCATGTATGCAATTTAGATTCGCCACTTAGTCCCTTTGTAAGAGTGATCATATTGTCGAGCTGTGTTGGGCTATCTGTTTGAGAGTCATGATGTCGAGCCCCGAAAAGGTTCGATTGATCTTGCAAGAAAGCCACTGTCGAATTGGGTATTTGCACGCATTCGTACAATTTAGTTCACTATTGAGCTGCGTATTTGAGTAATTCTTAAACAGTGCCCTAATCTTACCTTTGCTATAAAGGCAATAGACTAAACTTCATTATCGGTGGATAGAGATCATTTGAGGTGATAAACTATAGGTGCCGATGGTAAGAACATGCCAGCACTATCGCAGTAGCTCTGAGTGGGTGTTTCTGAACACTTATTTACAAGTTAGGGCTTGTCTGTGCGTTTAAGAATGACCGAAAAGTATAAATTTATAAAAGATACGGGTGGGTTCTTTTGAATATATGTTTTGATAGCTTAAAACTATATATCGTCTAGCTTATATTTGAAGTTCTATATGTTAAATCGAAGCTTAATATAATGGTGTTTAAATTGTTAATTTGGTTTGGACCTATTGGGAAGATTCAATAAATTTTTAGCTCATAAAGTAATTAAGTTAAAAACAATTGTCATTATCCTGGAGTATATTTGGATGGTGCAGGACCTCAAGTGCGGTAATTAATGACGGTTTGCTTATGAGAAATTATGAAATTGAGTGGGTAAGTCAGTCGATCAATTGGCTCATATATGAGAGGTGTATATTATTGGGCGTTCATGAACATCCTGGAGTTGCGATACTCTTACTTAAATGCACAATGCATGTCCACCTTATTCTTTGTATAATGTTCTCACATGTCTCTTATTTGTATACCCTCTCGTCTTGGAGGTATTATCTTTGGCTCATACTAATGCTTCGAAATAAACTAGGTACTTGCTTATGGGGAGGCTCGATACGGTGACAACTACCGGCTGGAGAAGGCATGGAAGTCGTTATACACCATATGTGTACGCAGCCACCAAGTGCTCTGAATGAAATTAAGTGAATATGGAAACTAATCAAGTGTGTTAATGAAATAATGATGTGCACCGGTTCCACAACTTTCGCAGAATCTCACTCGGCGGAGAGAAAAATTAGACTAGTATGTCCGTCTAAAGATGGCACTGTCATGATTACGGCCTAAATTAGATATCATCTCCACAACTTCTGTACTATGTAACTGCATTTCATCATTGCCTTTATCAACGATATCGATCAGTCGTTCCTCCTCGGCTTTCCTTTTAAATAGACTTAGTAAATGCATATCTTCCTCAGGTTGAGACCTATCCAAATTTTTTTGCCCACACAACATTTCCAAGACCACAACACCAAAGCTGTAGACATCTACTTTCTCAGTGATAATTGAGCTCAACCATTCAGGAGCCAAATAGCCTGGTGTTCCCCTCAAAGTTGTTACAACTTGGCTTTGGTCCTTATCAATTAGTTTTGACAATCCGAAATCAGATATTTTTGCATTGAAGTATTCATCTAAGAGGATGTTTTGGGGTTTGATATCCAAATGAAATATTTTCTGCCTGCATTCCTCATGGAGATAGGATAGACCCTTAGCTATCTCCATGATGATCTTTCTTCTGGATTGCCACCCAAGTGTGAGCTCTTGGTGCCTTTGGAAGATCCATTTATCCAAGGATCCATTAGACATGTACTCATAAACTAGAAGCCTGTATGATTTTTCAGCGCAAAATCCTATTAATCTCACCAAATTGATATGGTGAATGCTGCCTATTGTCTCAACTTCAGCTAAGAATGACTTCTTAACTTGACCAAAACCATTGAGACGCTTCACTGCTATTTCGGTGCCATCACTTAATGTCCCTTGAAACACTGACCCAAATCCTCCTTCCCCGAGCTTATTATTGAAATTGCTCGTCATGGCTCTCAGGTCTTCATATGAGAATCTACTAGGCATCCCTGGTACTTGATCAACAGAGAACTCATCAAATTCTTCGGATTCTCCTTTCTTTCTAAAATGGAAAATGCAAGAGGCAACCACAAAAAATACACCAAAGAGAGCTCCGAGGCTGGATCCAAGAGTGATTTTGACATTCCTTGATTTCTTTTGAGGAGAATTTGTTGGTAAAGGATACTGCGCAGTCAGAGAATTCTGCACTTTAAGAAATAGAGAAATGCTATCATCCCCTGCATCATTATTTTGAAGAGAATAGACTTCAGATAGTAATAAGCAACGATTATAGTAATAGCTCCCATCATAATTAGAGCCCCCATCATATGCAAACAAAGCGGCTTTGCATGAACAGTTTTTCAAGCAACTCTTCTTGCAATCCTCTAACTCGATTTTTGCATCCAAGTAGTCTCCGTTTGTGTCTTTTAAGTTAAAAAAATAACTAATATTCTGAAGCTCCAAAAGTGTGTGATATTGAGAATGGTTACAAGAAATGGGTGTACAAGGGAACATCCAAGACTGGGTTGCCTATAATTTATTTGCCTGAAAATGTTGCTGCTGGGGAATTCCTCAAGACAGCCACACTCTCCATTTGAAGAACAGACACCGTAATTGCCGCACGCCATGGGATACCCACAGTCACCAATATCTGGTATCAGTAGATCCACCGCATTCCAGTTATTTCCTACCCACTCATAAACCCTCAAACGCCCATCAGGTTCCAACCTTATGAACTGAGCTGACGATCCAACAAGAGGGGATTTCTGCTCGTTGAAGCTTCCATTCTCGAATTTCACATATACTTGGTGGTCGGAACTCCCATTTAAATAGGATCGAAAATAGACCAAGGGTGGATTGGATTCTACATAAGCCAACAGACTGTAATAAGGATCAGGATTACGATGAATAGCAAGTGAAAACAAACCTTGACTCCAGTTTGATGCGGACGTGCTAGCAATCAGCTTCTGCCCAAGGACCAACTTCTGCCCAGGAAGTAAGGAATCCGTTGGGTAATCGCAATGCTGTTTAGTGAATTTTTGGATGGATGCTGGTGCATGTGTTAGTGCTACAGGTGTGGTGGTGTCGTTAGGGACAATACATTCGACAGTGCAGTGTTAGATGTGGTGATGTGTGTTGCGGGTTGTATTGAAGGGGTGAGTGTGCGGAAGCTTACGAAAGTTGTGGCAGTATAACTGTGTATCAGTTTACACATATTTGTCTGTACAAAAATTAAAAATAAGCTATGAAAAGACATGGTAAATGGTATAATCAGATTGAAGGGAAACATGCAAAGCCACAATTGTTCATATGGAAAATAAAATTGTTCTGTATGAGGTATGTAAGCATCATACATGTCTGAATGGGTGTGTTTGTTACACTCCGTTATTTGTGCGAAAAAAAATTTGAAAGTTGGAAATAAATGTTCGGAAACTTTTTGGTTGCCTTGAATGCTAGATTGGTTCCTTGCACGTCTTCCTATTATGATTCCCCAAACGTTGGCACCGACCATACCGAATTTGTTGAACTTGTTCCCCCCTGGAAAGCATCCGCTTCTTCTTGGGCCTGCTTGGTTGTCTTTTGACAATTGGTGGTTGAATGACAAAATCATCCACGTTAAATGGCGGTTTTTCAACAGTTGGAATAGGGATAATGTTGTGTGCATATGAACTTCGGTACTCTACTATATGGTAATACGCATCAACGAAATTGTAAAGGTCTTTGTCACTGTTACGGATTGCAATGACTGTGTGAGCACACGGGAAACCTTTGATTTGCCACTGAAAACATGAGCATGTATGCCTCCCAACATCAACCAGCACTGATAAGAAAGAGTGCACTTCATATACGCATCTCGTATCCATGAGTTAAAAAGCCACGATCTTCCTTTATTATACGTTTTAACCAAACGTACTTCCATCTTCGGGCATACAACACCATGCCACGCTTCTGCCTTGCGTCGACGTTTGGCCCTCTGCCGCATAATCTGAGTCTGGATACTGTCTACCATTTGAGTTATTGAAAGGTGTCACGCATCTCGTATCCATGAGTTAAATGACTCAATTGCGTTGGAACTCATTTCGCCGTAACGTGCACCACTAGTGGATAAAAAATGAAAAACATTTGAAAACAATTTACAAAGTAAAACGTTCACGTAGGTTGTAATACAAAGCAACTTGAATATGCTATAGGCATGAATGAAAATGGTTTCGAAAAAGTTATCGAAAATAAGCATTCGCCCAATATGTAGGGGGCAAATCCTTCAAAAATGCTGGAGCGACATTACGTCCGGATTTCATGAACTCCCCTAAACTATGGTTGAATGCAGCGACTATTGGAGCATATGCGCACCCTCGGAATTTAGCCAACAACCCAGCCCGGTAAGAACTGTTCACGTAACGCATTTTGTCTTACAAGTTGCGTTGCAAATGTTATAAGTAGAATGCATGATGAGCGGTGGGGAATACGATGGGTACTGATTCTATCAGTCCAGTATGTCGGTCTGAAACGAACGTAAGTCTTCTATGTCTATTCACCATATTCCCCAGGTGTCCCAAAAACCAAGGCCAATTGGTAGTGTTCTCCGAATCAACGATCCTGATAGCTAAAGGAAACAATCCTGTTTTTTTTTTTTTTTTTTTTTCTTTTCTTTCTTAATTAAGAACAAAACAAGCATTGTTGATTAAAACATGTTAACAAATTTAATGGGACAACACACAATCGGGTGGCGTAAACACACACCACCCATACGAAGGTTGCAGCACAAACAAACCCATAATAGCCTGCCCAAAAGCCCAAGTGTGTGGAAACAGAACAAAATGTGGATATGATATTAAATAATAAAAAATCATAGTGTGCAACAACATACTTGGTTACCATCTTTTGCAATAGCGGCTGTAGACACACCCGAACGTCTCGGGAGGATGAATCCCGTTTCGTTCGTTTAGGCTCACTACAGTTCGGACTCTCAAATTGTCACGGTTCTAAATCTGAACCAAAGAGTCCGAATCCGGCAATTCGTTTTGGAAAACAGATTTTTAGAAAAGAAGTGCCAAACATGGACTGCTTTGCCAGATACAGAGTCGCCACCTAAATATTTTTTATGGGGGAATTTAGGAAACCCTGACTCGTTGCCTAAGGCCACGTGTCCATCATCACCAAAGTTGCCTCGGCTCGGGAACTTGGATACGATTGGGGAAGGTCAGCTATGAGCACCCCCTCTCGCCCGATCAGAAGATCGGCCTCTACTAACCATGATATTTTGTTTTGAAAACATTATGCGTTCTTATACCGGTTATTAGCCTAGAATTACTATGTGATGCGCACAGCAAAACAAGTATAGACTAAATTGCCTAAGTTTGAACAAAGCATCGCATTTCCGTTTGTTTGGAAAATGGTTTGAATTTTGCTACTCGCGAGTAGGCTAAAATACGGATTTCGATGAATTATCCTAATTCAAACAATCCAACCTTCACCCACAAGCATTCATGCAGTTATATCACATAAGCACATAGCCACATGGTAAGCATGCTATCATGTTAACATTCACACTCATGCGAGATGCTAAAACATAAATACTTACATCGTACTCCGTGCCAAAACAAGAAACTAGTTAGTAATCATGCATGATCCTAGTTCATGTTAAAGTGGCTAATGCATCGCATACAAAATGTCACTAGAATAGGCTCGGCTAATCTATGGATGGCATGTGAAATGCGACAGATATCATATATTCAAGGTAGATTTGAAATACTATGCAGTTAGCATGATGTGCCGAGCCCGGTGCATGCAAGACTGATGAATGATGCACGCATGCATAGCATAAAGTATGCTAAATTAAATATGCCCTAGTACTAACCATCAAAAGCAGGTAAGTAAAAGGGAGAAAGAAGTGGGGATTGGAAGACATGCACACACGCACCCACACTTATTACAAATTCGCCCTCGCTTGGAGGGGCCAAAAGAATAATACAAATTAATTAACCTACAAGCTAATTAATTATTACAGACCACTTAACTAGTTAAGCAAATTAATTAAGCTAAGAAAGCAATACAGCCTCGGGAAGAGGGTCCAATGCATGCGCGCTCGGTTCCGCTCGGAAACCCACCACCATGCACAAGTTTGCCTCTGTTTCCCCTACTCTGCTCCTCTGAAAATTGCACAACTCCTAAGGTATGCTCCATGGACACTATGGATCACCACTGACCAAGTGGACACCCCACCGACCATGTCCGGATGGTCATCGACCATTTGTTGAGCTCTCAGCCATCAGTAATTGGTCGGTCGGCACTCCATATAGTCGGCCGGCCAAATCTTCCTGCAGAACCTGTTTTGACAGCAGCAGGGGGGGCAAAACAAGGTATGGCAATGTATTTCAAGCAAATGTGTGCACCAACACATCCCTTATCACGTTCATGACTCAAAGAAGTTTGGGACTCGACCCTCGGACCATCAATCGCGCATTTCAATGCTTGATGGCCAAAGAAGCCAAGTGTGCATTTTGATTTCAAATGTAATGCACACCAAAACAAACAAGTGGCCCAACCTCTATCACTTGATCAAGAGGCAAGGTATGCATGCTCAATGCGATGCAACCTAGGCATGTGAACTAAGCATGCAACATGATGCATGAAGGTAGGCACACAACCTTAAGCAAACAAGCATGTGAAGTATGGAACACAACATTAACAACTTCTAAACAACCAGTACTCATTAGTCATGACTCTGAACGCTCAAACTCTGAAGAATATGACCGTTGAAGCCGTCAACCATGCAACCTCGTCAGAAGAACAGGACCACCTTGACCGGAGTAAAAAAAAAAGGTAAAGCAAACGGATACAACGGTTGAAGATCTGCTGAAGAATCAAAGCAACACACTGGAAAAGCCAGACGAGTGCATGGTGGAGGAACTCACAGCTCAGAATGACCTCAATGCTCAGAAACAGGAACTGAATGTGGGAGCATACAAATCCTTCAAACAAGCTCTCCTGAAATCTTGATTTAATGAGACTGAAAGAGAACGAAACTTTGCATGTGAGGAGGCTTATTTGTCTTCTGAAGACGAAATGGATAAAGATGAGGAGGGAGAGGATCATTTGCAGTACAAAGGGACAAGCTCAAACCCGGTTATTAAAATACCTGCTGGGCTTCTTAAAAAAAATTAGAGAGCCATGGCAAAAGTGCCTCATTGTGAGAATCCTGGGTAAGAATATTGGTTATAAACTTTTTGTGAATCGTATGCGGAAACTCTGGAATCCTCAGGCCGATTTCGAAACTCTGGATATTGGGCATGGTTTTTTCATAGTGAAATTTGAAATGATGGAGGATTATTCCAAGGTGTATATGGGAGGACCATGGGTTATGATGGACCGGTATGTGATAGTTCGTAAATGGCAAGCCGATTTTAAATCGGATGAAGCAGAAGAGGACACAACTGCAATATGGGTTCGATTTCCAAACCTC